TCCTGGGCAATGTGCTCTAGATGACCCAGCTTGAGCAGGGGGGTTGCACTAGATGATCTCCAGAGGTCCCTTCCACCCTTGGCCATTCAGTGACTGTGTGCCTGCAAGGGGAGGTCACCCGATTCGACCACCTTCACTGACAAAACTGGGCCCCTAAACAATCCAACCAAGCCGTCCCAGGCAACCCCACACTTTTGGAGCCAGGAGCCCAGGGGGCTCCAAAGGAAAGGCAGGAGGAAAACTCACCAGCCCATAGGGGCTGCAGAGCCTGGAGCTCAAGTGGGTGCCCACGCCTGCTCCGTGGGGGATCCTGCAGAGTCTCTCACTGGGCTGGTGCTGGGTCTCAGGTGCAGTGCTGCTCCCAGGCTGGGGCCACAAGCTGCTCACTCCCTGCTCAGCTCTAGACGGTGTCAGCAAAGCCTGCAGTGTCCCAGACCCTTGCTGAAGAGATGAAGCAGCCGAGGGGCTGCAGCAGCACATCCCTCTTGGGCACAGCCAGCCCCATTTCAGCACATCCTTGGCATCAGCCCTGTGCGGTGCTGGGTACCATGGACCCTCTCAGCCGATGCTCGGAGGCACTAACACAACCCAGCTGCTGCAGTCAGGGCAGGGATTACTGTCCCATTCTGCCTGAGTGGGCGCAGTGATGGGCGGCAGCAGGCAGAGGACGAGGCCGAAGCTCCTGCGGTGCTGTGCACTGCAGTCACTCCTGTCTCCTCCTCCAAATTTGTTGCTCCCATTTTTACAGTAATTGCCTCTATGGTGCATCCAAGATGATGACTTGACATATCTTCAATACACAGTAGGAGCTTTAATAAAAAAACTACCACTCAAAGAGGTGCCTGCTGCTATTCTGAGTCAGGCTTTAGTGCCCCGAGGAAGTCGAATGGCCAGTAGAGAGCCATATTTCACAGCTGCAGGTCAGCCCAGGCTTAGGACCCAGGTGCCATGTTGTTAGTGATGGGGCTGGCCCCGATGCTGTGGACTCAGAAATGCAGCTGCTACACCTAGCCGGGCTTGGCAGGTTCCCTTGAATTTCCTTTGATCATCTGGATTTGTTCAAACCTGAGGTTTGATTGCCAACACAAACCTGAACAAATCAACCCCCGCACACAAAATGCCTCCCATTTCCATGAGGTCCAGTGATGAAAAGGTAGTTTCACTTGGAGGTCGATAAACAAGATTTCCAGCCTCCCGGAGTAGTTCATTAGCTCCATATTTCTTCCCAACACCCTTTTTCCAAAGGGCTCCTCAGCCCCAGGCCTGGAGGGAGCCCTCAGCATAGCTTACAGTGTGAAGATACATCTAAGCCACCTCCCTTCTCCCAGCAAAACTGGCAGTGAGCTTTGAATTCAATACCCAGCCCAAGATTAACAACATATTTATCAATATAGTGCTGTCAGTAGTTTAGGCTGACAAATGCTGGTGCTGGATAAGTACATAACACTGCAGATAAAGCACTTGTTAGGAGTGATTTGGATCATTTGGTAAGCTGCCATCTAAACTACCTGAATTTTAATGCAGCCAAATGCAAGTTCATATGTTCAGGAGCAAAGAACGTAGGGAACTTTGGGCCGAAAACCTCTGTTAAAAGACTAGTAGCAAAGGAAAGGATTTCTGAAGCAGAGCGGATATCCAGCTGAACAGCAGCTCCTGGCATGGCAGCACAGGGCCAGCACAGCTTATGCATGCTAGCACTGAGCAGTTCCACATTTTCCCTTAGAAACATAAGATAACAACTAGAATAATAGCTAGTTTTGTGGTCAGGCATTGTTAAAATATTCAGGCAACTGTTAAAATATTAGGGAATAGTCAGAGAATAGCATGAAGAACCAAAAGCCTGTCACAATCAGCGAACAGCTTAAGGAGATGAGTAGATGTAGTTTATCAAAGTTGTGATGACTGAAGGAAGCATGCTATATATGAACCTATGCGAGGCGAACATGTCCAACGCGGAAGGCACGAGGCTCTGACAGGCTCCCTAGCTGTGTGTGCACGTTTGTGACTGTGGGACACAAACCCTCCTGCATCTGCCCTTCACCCAGAAACTGCAGCCTCAAGCGTGTAAATGCTACCAAAACCTGCTCTAACAGCCAGCATCATACACTGGCCAGAAACTGCACTCTGGGGGAAAAAAAAACAAACAAAAAACAAAAGTGAGAAAAGCCAACAAGAAAGCAATCTGAAGAGGTCTCCAAGAGAAGTGGTCAATGGCAAGCCAGGAGCGGCAGGCAGGACAGTGCAGTAAGGACAGCAAAGATTCCTCAGGCACATGGGAGAGGGACAGACTGTTCTGCCTAGTACCTTTATTCTTTACTTACTGGGAGTGAGAAAGCATCGGTTTTTCAAAAACAGCCACAGAAAACCAACTCCCTGCTACTGACCCTACACTTTCAGACTGCAGATAAAGATACATTTAATGCTCATTTCTATGACTTTTCAGAAATCGGCATGGGACCTTCCCCAAACCTTCCTAGAAGTGACTTGATAAGGAACTTAGCAAAGCTCCCAAGGGCAGGGAAGAACCTTCTAAGGCTATCACAGAATCACAGAATAGTTGGGGTTGGAAGGGAGCTCTGGGGATCATCTAATCCACCCCCCCCCCCAAACAGGGTCACCTAGAGTAGGTGGCCCAGGACCATATCCAGACGGCTTTTGAATCTCTCCACGGATGGAGACTCCATGCCAGTCCACTCTGCTCTGGGCAGCCTGTTCAACCACTGCCACCTGTTCCCATGTTCAAATACCCTCACAATAAAGTGTTTTCTTGTGTTCAGACAGAATTTCCTCTCATCCTATTATAGAGGATGAGAAGAGGTTCCATCTTCTTTGCACCTTCTCATTAGATATTTATATGCACTCATAAGATCACCCCGAGCCTTTTCCTTTCCAGGCTAAACTCTCAGCTCTCTCAACCTTTCTTTGCACCATCTGATTATCACAAACAGATCTGGCAGAAGAAAAGTTTTTGTGTTGCCACTTCTGAGGTTTCTGGAAGGGTCATTTTGATATTTTGTTCCTCCTGCCCTTAAGTAAGTCCACTTGTAGACGTTTCCTGAAAGGGTAAAGTCTCAAAGGCAGTATTTTGTATTGAGAGCTGCTATTTTTGTGATATTTCACTTAATAACAGAGGGTATTACCAGGTATGACCACCTGGTACTATGGTAGAAAAGCACTGAAACGTGCAGATAGGTGTATGCCAGACCACACGCCACAGCCCTGACTTTCAGGGTACCTGAGGTAAACTAGAGCTCATGCTGCATTTTATTAATTCCCCAGGGAAGATCCTAACTATGGTTGATTGGCATCGGTTTGGCTCCCGTTCTGACCCTGAAGGAGCAATGACAAAATCTACTTTCTATCAATGGTTTCCTGAAGCTTTTTCTAATTCCTGAGAGCTTATTGTATGCATTGCCTTTGCAGGCTATCATGTCATTGTAAGGATGCAGGACTCTCCCCTCAGCAGAGCTGCTGTCACCTACTCTCTCAACCAACCTGCCAGGTAACTCCTGTCCAAACCCAAACAATTGAGATGTCAAATTCTTTATCCTCATTTTGCATAAAAATAAAAGCTGCCTCTGTAACATTTGCAAATCAAATGCAGCTCAGGATTCTGCTCTACATTTTAACAGGACTGCTTTACCGCATCAACTTTCCAAGACCTGCTAGCAATGTAAATGGAAGAGCCTGCTGAATAGCAGGTAAACCTACAGCAACAGGAAGCAGAACACTCAGCACATGGAGAACATTTGCGTTGCAGGAGCCCCTCAACTGAGGTCAAACTTGACTTCCTTAAACATAAACTGGTGCACTGTAGCCAGACACTAATTTCTGCAGTACAGGGTGCACACTTGCTACATTAGACTGCTGTGTCTCTAGGAAATTTCTATACTGTTTGAAAACTTCAACCAAAAAGAACTGAAAAATATTAAAAATTGATAACTACAAAGTTACTAGATAAGAATCTTTAAAATTTATTGGACTAACTGTGTTACATTCAATATTTGATGTGTTTCTCCTGGACAAAGAATTGGCATAAATACAAACAAGCCTTTGTGTGCCTTCCCTAAACAAATAAGAGATAAAGTACTAGAGACAAGGGAACATAGTTCACATCTTCATATTTACATTTTGCCTTTACTTTACAACTGAGCGCCAGGAATATTTACAGAAAAATACAGTAAGAACAAAAAGATCATGTCTTGGCAACATACAGAAATTCATACAAATTGTACATGATTTGAAGCACATGATATCTGGCATTCTCATTTCAAATCGATCCTGATGCACTCCATGTGGAAAATGTCTATATGTATTACTTAAACGACAAATTATGCAATCATTAAATCACACTTAAGTTTTCTATCAGATTGAAATTTAGTTCTACTGTCCTTCTGGGCTAGGCATGCAGAACCTTGTATGAAAGAAATGCAGTCACCTATTGAGAAACCAGTACGCAGAGTCAGTCAAGCAGCGAGTGGCTAGCTCTTCCCTATAGCCTTCTTGCACATGTTGCTATGCACGGAGACACCCTATTTTCCACGGACCCATTTACTGTTTGCTGTAAATTTGCAAAGCCTGTTTTAGAGTACCTTTAAGAAAGATGCTTTTTCAAAAAGAGAGTCTTTATTAAGGTACTACAATTTCCGTAATTTCAATACTGCGTTTAATAAGATGACACTGTTACCCCCCGCCATGATCTAGTGCACCATTAAAAGGATGCCGTCATTTAAAATAGAGTTATGAACCCAAACCGAATGTCCTTATTATGTCAAAATGAGAAAGTCTCAGTTTAGTTACATAACATTTGTAACTCAGATTTTGTGGCGCTACGTTATGTGCCAAAGTCTACACTAATATCACACTACACACAAAGAAAGTGGTCAATATTCATCATCACAGATGAATGAGAATGCAAAAAAAAGCCACACAAGATGTATAAATGAAAAATTAATACATCAGTCTGTGGTACCCACCCACCCACACCACCACCCCCCCCCCAAAAAAAAAAAAGTCTGGATTCTTGACTGTAAAGTGTTCTTGTGATCATGACCGAGAAACCTCTTATTCGCTCTAATGCTTTTGCGAAATAGCTCAAGGTTGTGTCTTGGACTGACTGAAGCCAGAAGAGTTTGGCCACTAACTTTGACAGAGCAAAGATTCCAGTCTCAAAGTGCGTTTTCCCTTTCATTAAGGTGGCAGCAAACATCCCTCTGCACGCTGGGGAATAATGGGCACTCCTTGCAGATACATTCCGACGGCGTGTTTCTGCCAAGATGGGTGCTCACTATTGCAACTTTCATCCAAACCAAATAGGATGACAACACATTTCAGAATCACGTTTTTATACTAAACTGTGACCGTCTTGAATGTTCACCTTCCTAGACAGCAAAAAAGCTGCAACTAATAGCCAGGTCATACCACTAATGTGCAACATGTTAAACAGTTGATTTTAAAAATTAAATTAAGGCTATATTAAGCAGGTTATAAAGCCCTATTCCTCACCGCAGGCTATGGGATAGACATAGCAACAACGTGCACAAAAGTTAACTTCTTTCAAAATTTTGGAAAAGTTGCGTTACTTTCATTATTATTACTACTCAAGTGGGTGCCTTATTTATTGTTTTAGAAGAAATATGGAAATACACCTAAGAACTATTCTTCATCCAAGTGTAGGTCTTTTTAAGAAGTAAAATTTCCAGGCAATCCGTTTGGCTACCATGGACTTTGTGGAACATATCCAGTGTTTCCTCTCAGTATGGATGTCTTTACGTTACAGACTCTGTATCTGAATACTTGAAAGAAGTACCTTTGCTGCTCATTAGTATATAAACCAATGACTTTGCATATAACATATACACTCACAGCTATGGTATGTGTTAAGTTATTGAAGATGTGCAGATACTTGATTGCTCAATATGTTTATTTTTGTTACACATGCATTGAACATGCCTTTTAAACTGGTGGACTAAAGTGTGTTTGGCCATTAATTAGATCCAAGAGGTACATAGAAAACGTGGGTAAATTTAGTGTCCGTGCATTAAATGGATATTGGCAAGACTTTAGTAGGGAAATGAAGCTGCATAAGTTACTCTTCACAGCTTTGCCATATACCCCAGGACTGACTTGCAGCCCCTCCTGCCATTTGAAACTTGGGCATCACATAAGCATGGGCCAGCCATCATGCTTACTTCTGCAATGGTTTCCATTGTGTGGTTTCATTTTTCCACTTGAGAATCATCTAGATGAAAATCCAGAGCGCCTGAGTTGAGAGGTTGGTATGCCTGCCCCCTGCAACAGGCACATCCGAAACCCCTTTGGTTTACATCCTGGAAGTCCTTTCATATGGATTTTTAGGGGCTTGTGTTTCCGTTAATTCTTTGTGGAAAAAACACATGAAAAGATAGGAGCAAGGTACCTGTCCTTGGCAAGTTAGTTGTAATGAAACTATTAAGACCCTTTCAAGTCAGAGCTGTTGCAAAAAGTAACTTTGAAGTATCAAAATTAAATGAATGCCAGGCATTACTATGATTCATATGAAAAAGCCTCTATACACACTCCCTCCTCTCTGAGGAGCTCCCCAAACTCCTACTTAAATCCATACTCTTGTATTACCTATTTATGGGAAGGAAAAGAACACGTTACCATCAATGATCACAAATCGCATCTACATGGGAGTATCCAGTGATGATGCATTACTGCAACACAAGCAAAGATTGTGTTAGGAGCCTGAAAGCACTCCCAAGACTGTCAATGTCCACTGCAGCTAATTTTACATTTCCAATAGTAAATTTGGTAAACTCTTCCCTGCACATCCTTCAGTCCTTCATCTGTATGTGAAAAGCGGTCTAAAAAGGAAACTCCCCCTTACCCTTCTTTTTCATTAAAAGCAACTTCTGCATCCTCATTTTAAAGACAGATTCCTGACGGACAGCTTGTAGACTGAGAGTCCAGCAGACAGGAGCATGTCCACAGAGGAAGCAGAGAGCTTGAACGGAAACCTGTCAATGATTAAAGAGTACAAAATCCACACTGGCCTATATTAGTTGAGGTGAAAGCCAACAACTCATACATCTACCTGAACATAGCCAAGGGAGAGGCCACCAGTATGGAGGAAATTGTCTGATCTATGATAAAAGGGAATCACTGCTGCTGAAAATGAGAAACATGCACAAAAGCTTCAAACTAATTTCATGTTGGATTATAACTCCCAATGGGCTTTCCTGGAATGGCAAGTTAATGAAAAAAGAAAAGTTCTTGAATTGCTTTCAAATAGTTTTAGTCCGTTTAATAGGAGCTTCTGAAAAGTGTTGTAGAAGCTACAAAAACTGCTTATGCTATAAATATCAGGCAGGAGGCAGCCCCAGAATCTCAAATTTCAATCCAGTAGAAGGAAAGCAAGTGATGTTTACACTTTCTATGGAAATGGTGAGTAGATGATACAGACACTTCAAAATAAATTAACCAGTTGCATAAAAATCAAGCTACTAAAATTAAGTGTGACATTTTGCAACAGACCTGAAAGTCATGACCTTGTTTATACATAACCAAGAACACTTATCTAGTAAAAACTTATCCTTAAAAGTCAGGTAATTTCAGCTGTTCTGTTTATTCTCAATATGACAGAAATCTTGTATGCAGATGGAATCACTCCCAGCCATGGAGGGAACTGTAAAATACAGCGCCCTGGCTATGAATTTCATGACCTGATGTTTTTGAGCAATTTTCCTCCTCTTTTCCTTTTGGTACACAAATTGGCTACCGGCAGTGAAGTAGATTCTGTTGAACTCTGAAAGGGGGTTGAGAATTTCTCCTTAAGTCCTTGCAGGTGATAGTTAATGCTCTGAAACAGACTCTCCCCTCAATAGCAGGCTTCAAGAAGAGATCCTGTTCCTGTCTCCTGTAACCAATGGGTGTAGTGAGATGTCTGAAGGCAGGTTCGCTCGCATTTCATTTTCCATCATTTTATGCAGAGATGTTTCTGTTTTGTGTTCTTCTCACAGAATGAGACACTTATTGTTCCTCATTAGTGTGGAATAGACAATTCAGTGAAGAGATTAGGTTGCTAGCATCCAGGAAGACTGGAATTAAGTAATCTTCTGAGGGCAGGTGAATTAAGTCAATGTCCCAACTGCTATGTTTTGGATTCATTTCTCATTGCTCCCACATGGTATCTGCTGACTTGTGCGAGAATACGATTTCCTGAATTCCGGTGGGCTGAAGAAATTTGTTGTTGCTACTTAACTGTTTTCATTACTGTAGCCACCAAGCTCTGATCTAATTGTCCTGGAAGGATAACGGCCTAGGGGTTGCAGTTCTTGAGCCCAACCTCCTGGAAAAGCGAGGTATAAAATTCTGGCTCCAGCTGCCTGTTGCGGTATTTATTGACAATGTCTGCTATTTTCTGTTTTCGGCGGACATGTGGGGGGTTATATGAATCACTTTCCAGCCTCTTTCTCCGACAAATATTTATTACCGTCTGCCTCACTAAAAAACCTGAAAAAGAAACAAAATCGGAATCAAGTTTAAACAAATCCAATTCTATGTCCCTTTGCTGGTTTCACAGCTAAAGAAAGTCGTGACTTCTGCCCCAGTCAGAAATCTAGGGAAAAATGATCAGGACCACCAAATCAAGAACTTTTTTTTTCCATAAGCAGTTAATAGCAGATAATCAGTCTCCAGAACTGTCAGGCCTTTTTGCTGTGAAACATGAATAAGAAAGGGATGGAGTCAGTGGTACCCTAAGTGGGCTGGAGGAGAAGGAAGATCTCTCTGCCTTCCCAGAGCCAGGCAACCACCTTCAACAGCTTCCTGAGCACCAAGAGGGGAAACAACCCGTGCCAGCTCTCACTTGCCAATACAAGGACTGCAGTACTACACCACGAGGCCACGCTACATGAGAACTTGCAGAGTTCGGGCTAGGTCTGAGGTGGCAATGAGTAAAGCCAGGAGAGCCTCCAGAGCACTGATTACAGGGGAAAAAAGGTACGTATCACAGGGACGACAGAGCCATTCAGCTTACAAAGAGGGGAACAGGAAAAACTTTACAGGTTGCGGTTAGGAACAGAGGCTTCTCTCCCCCTCACCGCTTTGCTGCAGTTACTGCCGTTCCATAACTTGCACTGAGGCATACGGGGGGAGAAAGTTCAGAATCAAAGCATCCAACACATTTAATCAAAGCTGGCAGTGGACTTTCTCCTCTTTCACTCTGAAATTCAATTTATATGCATCTTTGTAATGAAATAAAACTCCACTAACCCCTTTGCTGTTTCCCAAATACTTTTATAGGCAGAAACAAACTATCTTCCTTATTTAGGCAACTTGATTCCTGATCACATGCAAACCTTATGTGCTGAACTAGGAGAGAGGATGATTTTCGGTACGTTTTACTCCTGATGTAATAGAAAAAACAGAACAAGCCTAGCAAAACACACCTGATTCTTCTTTAATACAGCCCATTGTCATCAGCTGAATTCACAACCGTTATTTAAAAGCCCAGTCTGATTTCAATTTCCTCATCACTGAATTAAGCATGCAAAATCAGAACCTGAAAGTCACCCCCAGTAGGTCCCAGTTTTATAGTTATGGGGAAGTACTCTCATGTTTGTTTATTCATTTCACTCTGTTTTCTAAATTGCTGTCCCTCAAGTGAGATTTCCAGTTACTGAAGTTATAATAGCAGATACCCAAGACAATGACATTAATCCATTCAGGAGCACAGGAAAAGCTGGGTACCACACATATACCTGTTAACACATGGCAACGCTTGCCTGCATATTTGGTTAAATATTTAGTGAATACATTAAAGAAAATCCTCAATTCCTATGGCTTTCAACCACTATCCTGCTTCTAAAACACAAAGAACAAACAAAGCATGCCAGCACAGTCTAGAAATTCAGTAGTACCCCTCTGGTAGTCAAGTAACACTAGCATCTTGGGCTACCACAATCATAAACATTAGGGTCACATTTTTGATCTCTTCTTCTCCCTAAGTAGCAGTCTTTTCCTTCCACCATTACTGCCTCCAGCCCTCTACCCCACTATAATTACAGGGGAGCCCTGCTATCCCACCACTCAGTCATCTAACCAATGCTGTCAGCTAAATGCTAACAAGCTGCACCCTCTGCTGTTCCTGCAAAAAGCATGTCTTTATTTTGTTCCGTCATGCCCAATGATTCTTTTCAATGAAGAATTCCAGACCATATATTTTTCAGATATGTTATTACCTGCACACTGCAATCATAGGAGCTTTCCTCCACTCCATTAAACTGCTGAGATCAGACAGATTCCACTGTAATAACGTAACAGAAAATGGAAACGCATAGCGCCAACAAAGTACAAAAGGCCTGTTGATTTCAGTTTACTTTTTGGTGCAGGAGCATGGGCAGGAACGTTGCTGGCAGACTATCTGCAGTGCTCCATGAGCCAGAGCTAGCACAACCAAATGGGAAAGATCAGACTAACCACTGAACCACCTTCAAGGAGGAGGCGGGAGGGAGGGAAAAACAAAAAAACAAATAAACAAAAACACAACAACATGAGCGTTCCTAAAAATCTTTAGCTTACCAAGAGCTCGTCTACTGACTATCATTCCATCCACCAGTGGGATAACCATATTGAATTTCCCAGTAGCTCCTTGCAGTTTTATTCTGAATAAGCCAGTGTTTAAAGGATGGATGAAGATCACAGGAACTTCTTTCTCGGGAGCGGTAGATCTTGAGGGAAAAAAAAGTATGGCTGTTAAATCAGTTTTACAGCAGGATTTCAATTAACGTATGGATGAAAAATGGCCACTTTAAGTGTTTAAGGTCGTAAAAAAATGAAGTCTTGCGGCTAAACCAGCAGGATTCCTGTGTGCATCCTCTGGACATAGTCATATGTCAATTGTAATGTTTTTATGATCTTCTATCACCACAGAATTCCCAAATTCTGATGACAGAACTTTAAACCTCAGAACATGAATGCAATATTAACCACTTCACACAGCAGTATATCGGGAGAGAGGCTGGTCACAAACTCAAGTTAAAAACTGCACATTTGCTATTCCTCAATCTATGTTTAAATCACAGCGATATGAAAAGTCTATTCATTTTTCAACTGAAAAAAAAAATCTGCTGAAGAAAATCATACGTCTTTCTTAACAAGAATAACTACAGTTTTTTGGACGACTGCCTGTGAAAGCTGAAGAACGCAAATAAGCTCAATCATGGTTTCTTCTAAAGCATAGCATAAACCGTAGTTTGCAAAAAGCAACAAAAAGGAGAACAGTAGTCTTACCTTAGGGAAGTGCTACTATTTGCTGTAGTTTCTACACCAGTGCTAGTTTCAGATACCAGATCAGGGAGGGGAAAGTTTTCTAAAAGAGGAGGATACAGAGAATAAAGTTTAACTGTGCCCAGTTATTTTCTTTGTTGTACCAAGAGAGACTCCTTATTCCCAGTTAAAACAGCAGTACTCAAGCACTCATACTATGAACACTCTCGCAGCACTAGTAATCAAAGCTGAAGTCTCTTTTAGCTTAAGCAGCGTGTGTAGTGCAAAGACAGACCTCATGCATTCTGTGCTTGACAGATTAGGTGACGTTCCTGACCCTCAATTGTCTCAATCCCAAAGGTCACAATCTCCAGAAGAACTCCAAAGAACAGTGAAAGCAGGAAGAAGGTGAGGTATTTCACATACACAAAAAGCTTTCAAATTATTTTTAAATAACTTCCTTTCCGATCTGCAAGTACTCAGCCCAAGAAGTGTTCCACACTATAATGCTGCTCACATCTACAGCCTCTCAGGGGAATAACAATTTAACCTGGCAAACATAGCATCATTCCTTGAGTTCAGTCTCTGCAGGTCCTTAGCATAACCTGCAACAACTGCTGCTCTGCATTTTGTGACAACTGACTAGATAATGAAGGTGCTGGAAGAATAAATAAGAACTCAGATCCCTGGAAGATCCCATCCACTTGTTTAGGGGCAGGAACCAAGAGAGATGTTACAAATCATTCACAAGTACAATTCAGACAGTAGGATAACTCCAACTTCTCTCCCAGCAGAAAAGTGAATATAAGGCCTGAAGATAAGTCTCCCCCTCTCTTGGTTGCTTTCCTCAGGGAGGAGCTAAGCGCTTAAATAAGGTCCACTCTTACTACCAAACAGGGTACCAGGATTAGAAATCAAAGACCGAAAAAAGTATCTGTTATTGGCCAGTATTTTAGATACTGCTGGGCTAGGCCAATATAGACACACTCTCACATAAAGCTAAACCTAGGCCTGTGGTTTAGAACCAGCATGCAAGAAACTCCTGGGGAAACGGGACTCCTCAAGCCTGGAAAGACAGGTGTCCACTGTCCATGCTATGACTGTAACATGATGGGCAACCCTGGATCTCTCCCAGGTTAGTCAGTATCCAAAGAGTCAAGAAGCAAACACCACACTAAGACAAGCATTAAGTTAGCATAAGGAGTGTGATGCTGCCTGAACAAAGGTGTGCAGAAAGGAACCGGGACTGCACAGCACCATCCAAACAAATGGGCACCCTGAGCACAGAATAAATGAACTCTCCCACAAGAAAGAACAATATAGAAAGTTTCAAAGGAATCATCAAACCAAAAAAGATGATTCCTTCAGCACAGAAGTTGACCAAAGATAAAACAAGTGACAGAAAAGTAATTTTTCTAATAGAAGAACTCCTACATTCTGAGGAGACAGCAGCTGCGAGGAACTTAGGGATAGGGGTGCACAATACCTTGTGCATTAAGCGTAAGAAGAAGGTGCACGAGGACATTTCACACGTACTGCCACGGCTAAAAGACTAAGTGTCCAGACCTACCTGCTAGTGGTTCACTCACATCCCATAGACCATCATTCAAATATCAAAGAACTGTTTTAGAATCTTAAAGCATCAGTTACAGAAATAAATAAGAATTTAACAGTCTTTTATAAAGAAATGGAACTGAGTTTACACTGTTTTCTGTCTGCTGCTACATCAGTGAACAATAAAAAGTTCTACACACCTATATCATCGTAACGTTCAACCCAGACCACATACACTTTGGTTTCAGGTCCCATTGGTGGAATGGTCCGGCCCTGAGGTACCCTCTTGGATCTGGAAGTAGGACTGAGCTGTTTTGAAAACAAGGGAAGAGTAGCGTTTGCAAAATCATGAGTCCAGTAATGTGTCTAGCAAGCATCTCCTCCATCTCCACACTGACTCTGTAGTCTTCCAGATTTCAGAGTGGTACAGCCTCTGCCAACTATTAAGATGGGACAGCTGCAGTGCAACTACTCAATTAGAACCTGTAATTTGGGTCTCCATTAAACTTATACTCAACATAAATGAGAGAAAAGCCTCCTATTTATTTTGATATTAAAAAGAATGGCATCTCTTTGTAATTCCCTGGCTTTGTTGCATATATCCAAGCCACAATCAATTCAATAGCTACATGTTCCAGGGCACACACATGAGCATTACTGTGTTTCCATGCTATTGTGGAAGCATCAGCGCATCCACCATGATACCACTCTGAAAAATGCTTTATAATGCTCTCATTTCAATATTTCAGAGCAAATTTGCTCCCAGCCCAAAATAACACATTCTTCCTTGCCAACTTCCCCACCTGATACACGATCTAACCTGAGTGGGGTGGTTCTTGCCTTACACTAATGTATATGTCCCAGTTTCACTGTGTCGATACAAGTATTTATTTTCCACATCAACTTCAATAAAAATGCATTTAGGCAACCACAAACATTTAAACTACATTTATTGACTCATGCAAGATTTATCTTAAAAACTGGTTCAAGCTTTTGTTAACATTCTCAAAGATCCTAAATCAGTAACTAAATGTACATTGAGAGAGAACTGTAATCAAGAAATATGCAGTTACAATCCTTCACTAACTGTTATAGCAGTTTACGGTCTTCTGCTTCTGCAGATTTGTTATCACAGAAAAGCAACTTCATGCTTGATATTCAGGCATAACTGACACATGGGCAGCTACTAACATGGGATCTTAAACTGGCCAGGTGTGAAAAGTCTCCCAGTTTGCGCATCCTCCATTTCTGAAGCATGGATTGCAAGACAATTTATAAATTATTCTGTAAATACATCATAAAATTTCTCCTTCATGCATTCCAAGATTTTAGGATGCCAAATACTACTATTTTGCATGTTTAAGTTTTATATTTGATTAATGTAACCTTGCAATCTCCTACTGCAGATTCAAACGTTGGCAAGACCAGAAGCTGCTGTTACAGAGTAATGGCCGGGAACGAGTGGTCCCAAATACTAAGAAACTGAATCATATACTACCAGAAAATGCTGTAGCATTGCCAGTGTTTTCTGCAAAAAAATAAACACATGAATGCTGTTCTTCAGCACAAGTTTTGCCTTACCCGCTGAGAGGGATTAAGATTGTCTGTATGATTGGGGAAGAGTTCAAGTGTCAAAGATGGCTGCTTCAGTATCCCTGGCAGGAGATCCATGTTGGAGTCACTTTCTTGATCAGAGACATTGCTTTCCAGTGAATCAGCTGTAAGGCAAAAGAAGAAAGGTAGGTTTTGTCTCTTCTTCTGCCAAAAAAATCTAAGTTAACTTATATAAGGTTTTGAAGCAAAACATACTTGGATTTATCCAGAGGGCACAAGGCTACACATACTGGTAAAAAGCAGCTGGGAGAGAAAGTTTATGAATGCTACAGCGCCAAGGGAAAGCGAGAAGAGAAAATACTGAAGTCTGTTTCAATGGAGCACTTGCCTTTTACATAGCTTCCAAATTCATGTGTCATTCACTTATCCCAGCAACCCAAGCATGTGCCACAAAACAGTCCATACCATCGGATATTCACACCACCAACACCACCAAGTATTCACATGGAAAAAGCAGCTCTAACCCTCATGAGGATACAATCCACTACTCATATTTATACAATCTCAGCATTATCACAGTCCAATATCTGACCCAAGCATAGGATTCAGAAAGACTTCCTAGTAATCCTCCTGCTTTCTTGGAAGCTTTTAAGATCAAGTGGATATAGTGCACTCTAAAAGCAGGAAGAGGTTTCAGCAGTGGACATCTGCCAGTTATTCCAGAAACTGACTGCATTTAAACCATTCCCTATGGAGTTAGGAAGGGAGCGACCGTATTGCATAGGAAACCTGAAATCAGACGGGATATTTCTAAGAATACCATCTCCTCACAACTGTTTTATCCTGGAGAACTTTTCACGCTGGTTCCAAAGATTTAATGAAAGCTATTGCTACACAGCAATTAGGCACATGCTCCTCAAATGTGCTGCAGAAGCATGTCACTGAGAAAGGACAGAGAAAAACTGTATCACCAGCTGAACTGCTCTGAACTCATTAGCTGGGATGAGCCTACTTTTAAATCATGACTGCAGACCACAGCCACCTATAGCCCCATCCTAAAGCACTGTGGCAAATAGCAGTACTGCCACACAAACCTAGATACTCAGGCTTAGACTGAGAAAGCAAAGGGGCACAGAATAGATACCGCCTCTAGGAAGCAGTCTAAGGATTAAGATATCTTAATTTAAACATCAGTAGTTTTCTGACAAGGATCCTGCTGTCCACACTGCTAGTTAGCCTATTCGAGTTCTGCTTCTTGCAAAGCTCTCCAACAACAACATAAAAATAAAAATGTTGTTCTTCTGGGTTTTTTTAAACAGTATGCACACACAGTGATCTTACTTAGGGACTCCACTGGCGAGGGGACAACAAAAGCTATTTCTGTCAGGGCATCAGCATAATACAGCACTTTCTTCTGCCCATTGAAGATACTTGCCCCAACATCTTCTGAAGTAACTATATCATCTGAAAAAGAGACAAAAGTAAGGTTAAATCAAAAGGAAGTTTTAGCTCTTTTTTAACGCATTTTCTCAGGAGAAGACTTTCAAATACAGAGGCCAAACAATTAGAAGAAATCACGCAGTTCTCATTTTAAAATGTCAAGATTTCAGTCAAGTCTCATTGCTAACAACCATTCTCAAAAATCTTGGCTGATACCTTGAATAAAACAATATTCCGAATTGAAAAGAGGATTTATTTCAAACATATTTCCATTGCACTGTATACCACATTTCCCTCAGACTGAATAGTCCAGTAAGCTTGTCCAGTACAAGAAATCATCCAGTAGCTACTTCTACCCATTCCTTCTGACAGAGGCATCCTCATTCAGTTATTTGTCATTAAATTTTCAAAGGTCTCTTGCATCTATAATTTCAACCTGATACTGTTCTAGAATGTAACCCAGTTTCTACAGATTCTCCTTTAGATATCTACTTAGAGAAAGGCTACCTCTTGAATCTAAGCTAATGTAAGAAGCTCCTACTTCCCAGCACCCACTTATTCACACATCGCAGTTGACCTACACAGTACATCAGACCATCGCAGCACAACAGAGAGCAAGTTCATTTCTTTGATGGAGGCAAGCTATAAGTCAATTATCAAAAACACCTCTTTTCCTTTCTCATGCCCCCTCCCAAAAAGAAGAATAAGGGCTTTAAGCTGAATTATTTCTCTGATTCAGCTTACAGTGGGGTCCCAGGATTAGCTGCCTCAGCAGAAACAATGGGGCAGTGAAATTCAGCACACTGACAGAAAGAAGTGCCAGAGGCATGCAGGAACTGCCGAAGGATGCTTTACCCTAGGGAAAGCATTTCTAAATATCTCAAGCCCACATCCTTTAGGAAGTAGCACCCCAACCATGACCACGAAGCTTAAGAACTTCTTTGCTTTTCAGATGGAAAAAATATACATAACCGCTTTCAATTTCCCCACCCCTAATTAGATCTCAGTGGAAACTCTTCTGAGCTCGTGAAACGGGCTTTTACCATCAGAGCCATCCACAAGGAGCAATTGCATTTAGCAAAATAGACAGGCTAAGCCACAGACAAGGCTGGGGGTGGGGTGGGCAATGAATAAGTAAAGTGAGCAATCTTCTTTAAATTTACCCTTTCAGCTTTTTAGCCATTGCTTGCTAAAGCTGTGGTTCCACTTCAGGATTTTTCCAAGAACACAGCCAGGTTAAAAGAAGCCTTCCCCTGAACCCCACTCCTGACTGCTTTTTCTGTTCCTTCTTCCCCAACAGGTTATACCGCTTTGTTGTGTTAACTCAATTGTTTGGTGGTCTGTGACTTAAACCAGACGGCTGAAACAGAGTTAAAAAGTACATATTAAAACAGGTAACCTCACTAACTCAGACCACCATCTTGCATACAGCCATACTCACACAGTTGAGAGGACCACAAACTGCCAAAGGAAAGGAGAGGGCTCTGCCTCCAAGTAGATAGATCATGATCTGGTACTGTACTCCAAGAAAAATTAAATCACTTTCTGGCCATTTTGTTACCTCTCCTGACTTATTCAGAGAAAGCCATACCTCTGTTCTCTTAACCTCTCCCAATAATTTCAAACCTTCTGTCTTTTGTAGAACTTCAGGAAAGCTTTTAGTTGGCCTTAGTTACAGCTGAAGATTAGTCAGAGCGTTTCTAAGGCCTAGCCAAAGGAAAGCCGAGTAGGAGCACTGCTTAAGAAACTGCAGTGACAATGATCTTACACCTGATCCAAGTTCAAAATCAAAGAAGTTGAGCATCACCACACTGGCCGATCCAGCCTGTATGACGTATTTGTGTGGCCCACACGAGAAGGCTGAGGCTCTGAAGATCACAATGAAAAGGTCTCTGGCCCTTACAGCAGCGAACAAACTTCCGGACATGAACCACACTGCAATCAACCCATGAACACTATCAGATTCTGTAGATAATCTGATTATGTTGTTTTTCAGTGCAGAAACTACTCGACTTCCAGCTTACCACACTGGAATAGCAGCTTGAAGAACACTACCCTGAGGATCATTTTGTTTGACAGAATGGGGAGAGGATAGCATAAGACAAGCCCAGAAGAGGAGCTGCTGTCGTGAAAAAAAAAAAAGGAGTAAATTAAGCAGGATGGGCTCCAACCACAATGACCTACAAACATCAATTTGTTTTCAATACTTACTACCAAGCATGATGACAAGACTAATATATTTGTCAAAGTCTCATTTTAACCTACCTACACGGTTTAGAACACTAAAAATCACAAAATATTTCAAGCCTGTCTGCTGATGCAGCAGACAGTACAAGGTGGATCCCTGATTTCACCTTAGTACCGGTTTTGTATTATATATTAGATTCACCAAAGACTGCAAAAAATATGGAATACAAGCATTTGTTGCTGAGATTACTTCCTCCCAACAAGATACACACATATTTGTTCACTTTGACTTGAAGCGTAATCTAATGCTTATATTTAATATTCCTTTCTAGTAAATGTATCTGAAAAAATGTGCAAGTGCTCAAAGAGGTATCCAGAAGCAAGAAAAGTTAATCGTCTAACAAAGCAGCCTAAACGTTGTAATTTAAGGTTACTACATTACCTAGGTCTTACCTTGTTCAGGTCCTTCTTCATCACTGCAACTATTGATTGACCAGCTTGTTGAGACATGCCCAGTCCAACCCGGGTGCTTCCCCACATCAACTGACCAGCCAAGAGACAGCAAGAATTCCAGGAAGTGTGGCTGAACAATTCTGGAAGACTCCATGTTCTTCAGGATCTGAAACGAGCAGCAGTACCACAGTACATACATGAGACTCCAAAAGCAGCTCTCCTTGTTTTTTTTTTTTGTTTTTTTTGTTTTTTTTTTAAACTGTGCCACAGGTTTGTTTTTACCCAAATATAGCCAAGTTTGCAAGTCTGGAACTCCAAACTCTCCTGCCACAGCTAACTACATGGACACCAGGCCCTGCTGCCCAGTGTCCTCCATCCTGTTCAGCAACGTCCTGTTCAGTCAGATTCTCTCTTTTAGCCATCACTGCTGAAGCTTGTAAAATAGTTAATCACACTGCTACAAATGGCAATTTTGAGATTTATCAGGGCTAAATGGCAATTTTTTGAGATTTATCAGGGCTAAACCACAGAACTGACCAGTGCAGAATCCACATTAACACCAACTGTATTAACTTGATAATTTTCTGGACAGATACCACTGCTACATTATGGTAACATTATAGGAGGATTTTAGGAAAAAGTCATTTAATCACTACTAACCTGTACATGACACATAAACAATGACTTAGAGGGCTGGCCTCAAAACACATTAGATTAAATTATGATGTAGATTTTGCAAAGAATTTTGGGCGAGATTGAACATGCACTTTAATCAAACAACATGCTATGCTGTTCATTTTGAATCTTAATCCCATTTCTTATAAAGATTTGGGATGTTTCCACATCCAAAAGCAATTCCTATCCCATCAGGTTGAGCGAAAGCTGACAGCTTCATCACACAGCACGCAGGAAGGTAAAGGACCATTTGTGATTTCATGTACCTGAACTGCTGCGATTTGTGGACTAGACAAGGTTGTATAATGCATTCTTCCTTCTATTTTCGATTACGTGGGAATTTCAGTTTGGTAGCAGGTGGGTCTTTGATTTTTGCATGGGGATAGTATAATTTAACTCTAATCTAGAGGTAGACTCCAGTAGAACAGAAACTGTTCAATCATAGACAGTACATGAAAAGAAAAGCTTTCAGACAAGATGCTCCTGATACCCACAGAGTCCTGGCACGCTGTCCTAACATCTTGTACAATATTCAACAGTGACTAATCACACTACATAGAAATATTACTAATATGCTTAATAATGGGAGTAATAATTAATAAAGTAAGAGTTAGGCTTCAGAATGAGTTGAGATAAAAGTATTTTAGGAGACAACAATTTCTGAAAACATGCTAGCTCCAGCTTTACACAACTGCATGGTTTTGTATCTGAGCCACACCGAAAATAATTTTCAATAAAGTAAGAACGAGAGAGTATTTTAAAATAGCGTTTAATATTATGAAATGTAACAATGTAAAAAAAAAAAAACCCGTGGACAGTTTCATTACCCTGGATAAATAAATCTTATAAGACCCTTTTAAACAGTAAAGGAACATTATTATTGGAAAAACAATATCACTTGTACATTGGGGCTGATGCAGTAACATGCAGGTTAGAAAAACTGTTCTGGACTGCAGAGCATCAGAAAAAAATAGCTGCCACTCTTTGTGAAAGGAGTAAGATCCCCCTCGTAGAACAGAATTAGGTCCTTAGTTAGAGCTGCGTGAACTCTCTCCCCCACATATGCATAGAAACTATGACAGCTGAGCAGGACCAAGCAGCTTTCCTTGCTCAGAGCAGAAACAATGTCATGATTTGGCTCCTCTCTTGACCGCATTTGGTTGCTCACTGCTGTCCTAAGCAAGTAACATTACAAAAGGTCTTCATCCGATGCGATATTGATAATATTGAAAATAAAACATGACAGAAATAAGTCACAGCGCTTTTCAAACGTGGAAACAGTATCCGTTTCTCACTCAGCTCAGGTCTGCAGAGACAGATACAAATATAATATTGACTGTGCCACTGTGACCTTGCACAAATGAAAAGGGCTAGGAATCATAGCACAATGTCTAGGGACCTCGAAGTAGGAGCATGAACTTTTGTACTATCTGACAAAACATGTCCAGAATCTCTCAGACATGAAAGATCTTTAAATCTATAAGGCAAGCCCTACAAATAGACTGCTAATTGCGTTCCCAAAGGCCAGCTAATTCTGCAGAACTACATAATTTCTGCAAATAAATCTCATCCATCTAAACTCATAATAGCATATAAGCACCAGGAGAAGAATACATTCTGCTAGCTCAGCAAAAACACAGCATTTCAGCTGGAACGCATCAGCTCTTGTATGTGCTGTTATAAGGCTGACTTTGGAGACAGGAAGATCTACTGGCCTTCCCAAACTTCTCTACTTGCAAACTCATAAATAGCATGATCCTGGCTTCAAGAATTACTGTTTTCCACCCAAAAGTGGAAGGTGTTGCTATGTTCTGTCACTGGTATGTTTGCAGCAAAACGAGGAGACTATACAGTGAGTAATTCATTGTGAAAGCTATGCTTTTATACTTTACTATGAGAATTACGCATGGAATGAGAAGGTACTCCAGAAACATCCCTTTCTAATGAACCTGTAAGTCATCTTAACTTAGTGACTTTCCAGGTCACATTTTAAAGAAATCATGGTTTAGATTTGGACAAATTAACCTGATTAACCTAATCACATTTGAAAGCAAAAAGTATAATGTAAAGACTTACAAAGCAGTAATACTTTCTTGCAAAAAGTTTTTCAGTTCATTGTCATGTGTTTAAAACTAGAATCAAAGCAAGCTACTGAGACGCTGCACATAGCTCAAACAAATTGCAATTTTTCCATATATATAGATATCATGCTTTATCAAGACCTCCTAAATGTGGGTAATAATGTACTTCATGCTACAGATTAAAAAAAAAAAAAAAAGGTACATAATGACTTATTACAGCTCATGTATCAAATAAAAAGCCCAAAATTCCAAGTTCTAGTACTCCGCTCTAGTCATTAGCAGTGATGCAATTATTCACATGAGGATTATTTGAAACAGGCAATATATATTCATTAGCACTCTACACTTTCACTTACCTCCTGGCTTGTTTTCTGGCCTGCCTTCATGTAGAAAATGAAAACTGTATCAAAAGGACGACACGGTAATAAATCTAAGTAGCCAAGGTCATCAAAAAACCCAGGAAGAGCAGAGTCAAGTGCAATCAGGTGAGGAGGTAGACGACTGTTAGCAGGTTCCTATCGAATAAACAGAGTTCAATAGTTAAAAGAAAAAAAATCTGTTCCCTCTGAAAAGGTTCTCATGACTTTAAAAATGATCCACAAAAATAGAAACACATTTTCTTTTTTTAAGCTTGAAATAACACACAGACTTCTGGTGTAATAGAATCCTGTTGCTGTAAGTTTGCAACAGCTGAGGTAACATGGTTTGACAACTTGTATTTGTTGCATTCTACTATCTTCATTAAATAAGAAAATAGGTATTTTGCAAGTAAAACAATACTGACAGTTTGCTTAAAGAGAATATTCCCTCCCACAGTAAAACAAGTAGAGACTCTGAAAATACTATATGGCTTTCTACAGTCACATCGTAACTAATTTTGTATTTATTAATATGATTTCAAAATTACCTATATATAAAATATTAAGCACCTTTAGACTTCTTATTTTTGCAAAAGCTCTATTTTCTACCATTGTTGACATCTGATGGAAGAAAGATGCCACAGATAAAAGGGAGAATCCACAAGAGGTAGAATTTAAATTTAAGAATGTGGATCGTCTCTACAAACTGTTTTTTTGACTAAAGAGAAAGAAACTCTAAAATCTATATAGACTCCTAAATGTTTTACATAGTAAAATCATCACTTCAATACAATAATCTCTGAAGCAGAACATTTAGCACAGCAGTATTTCAGAAAAACTTACAGAAGTACCCCTAAGCCTAATTCAAGTTGGAGGAATAATTTCAAGTATAGATACATGAAATTCAAGTATAAATACATGAATTTCAAGTATAAATACATGAATGGTGACAGCTTATGCATCTACTGCAAAACTCAAAGACGTAGGCACCTATTCAGAGCATGTTCGGCTTGAGGCATAGTGTTTCACAACCCAGATCTCCATTCTGGAAAACTTAGAAACTCAGCACCATTTCTAAACAGACTACAGCATAACAGCAGCTGGCAGCACACACAAGATCTTCTGCTAGCTAAACTTGAGTTTTCCTCTTTTGCCGGGCTAAATAGGTAACGGGGCCGTTTGTATAGCACTAAGAAGTAGGAGGTCACCTTCAATGCCTCTAGTGACAGAAACCCAAAGTGAGAGAGGAACAGGCGTGCTGTCTGGAACTCCTGTGCAGGTGGCGGGGGCTTACACTCCGTGACTGGATCAGGAAAGCTTTTCTTGAGCCACTCCTCTTCACTTTTCTGATCTATGGACGTCTCAAAAATAATCTGCTGAGCCATGCCGTTCCTCAGCTTCTCATGTCGTTCTTCCAGCTGAAAAAAATTATACAGACATGGAAAGCTGATTCCACTAAGACCAATTAAAGTACTGAAAGCAGCTCCACCCTTTAACAAAGCTGTAAGTCACAAGTGAAGCAGCCGCTGAAACTCCACTACCAAGATCTTTACGGAAGCACTATCAGGGAGATCTCGCAGTGTTACAGAATGCACATCTGAACATACTATTTGCATGGGAGGGAGAGCTGTTGCAAATTCATGTACCCAAAATCAGTTACAACCTCTCCCTTTTAAATGAACAGGAACTAAAGTACATTTGGCACTGCCAGAGTAAAAAAAAGTTTACAAGAAGGCTCACAAATGCCCTTTCCATTTCCCCAGAAGAAGCAACAAATTAACAAACACAAGTCACTTATTCATAGCAATACAGGGGTGTTAGGATCTGGAATAAAAGATGTTGAGCATTGCTCCCCAAGAGCATGTTCTAGGCACTGCCATCTTGCACAGCTAGTGCACAGATTTCATTAGTTTGCAGAGTTTATTGCTCCATTAATGCGAATTAGTCAAGCTGAAGAGTAATATTTTTTACAGCAAGGAATTAGTGTGTGATTCATGAACAGGCAAAAAAAGGCAAGAGCAAAATGAAGTCCAAGACTAAAAACTACTTACTTCCTCATTCACAATTTCATGCAAATCAGGAATGCTTAAGTCAGCTTTCACAAAAGGAATTTTGTCCACTTCTTCAGGAAATGGGCGGTGCTTCACACTGTATTTCAATCCAACATCATTTTTAGGAGCTGGTCGAGGTTCTGGTATAAAAGTCTGTGATGAAAAAGGGGGATAATTTTACATTCAAAGCTTTGCCATTAGACAACACATTATTATTATGAATGGAAAGGGTTTCCCTCCCCACCACTATCACAAATCTACTAGTCGGTTATTGAGAGTTATCATCTAAAATTATTCAGTAAATAATTTAAATTTGTATAGACTTGCTTAAAATTTACAGCCAGGTTTTTTTAAGCAGAAGATGCAGTTCTGCCCATTTTGGCGGTTGCAGTCATGGAACCTATGAACCCGGTCTACCACCTAACCTCTGAGCAGTTGCAAATTCCAATAAAAATGGCAAGCTTACATGGCAACATCCTATTCTTAGGATAAGCTCCGTTCTAACTGTGTTTAGAGAAAGCTAACAACTGCTGGAGAAGCCTTCATTTTAACCCTTCTAACTTTAATGATCTCTGCAAGTTAAGCTGAGAAATCCTGGAATAGGAATTGCGTGCAACGTCCAGGTCAGCAGCAAGATACAGTGATGGAGTAAGGAAAGGACGTGCCTCATCTATCTTAATACAATTTTGACATTGTTACTATATCATGTTCTAGACAGTACTATCAGTTAGTAACCCAAGAATTGAAGTTGCCAAGGAGAGCAATGAAATAAAGATCTAGTTGCAGGTTTGCATAAGGTCAAAGCAAGCAAGACAAGAATTTTAATTACATCTTGAGTGCTGCTTTATGAATTTCTTCACCCTCAAGTACATTTCAAAAAGCACAAAACTGCTAACATTAAAGTTAGATAACGCCTTTAAGTTGGAAAAGTTCCCTTAAAACTGTTAAGAAAGTCACCAGCCAAACATGACTTTTCCCTTGGTGTAGGGGGTAATATATTTGGTTTGACAGTATTTAGCAAAGCAGTTCAACTTCAGTGACAACACAGCTCCAAAGGCACCAAAGTGCAGTCTTCCCAAAGCCTGCTTTGCAGAGACCACATTTGCCTAAGTGTTAGAATGACAGCCGAGACTGACAGGCCCATGTTTCAACTACATTCTTATTTCCCTTATTTTATTGAGAGGCATGTAAAGAGTTTGAAGACTTAGAGACGTTCACAAACAGAAATTCTGATGACAGAAGGACGTACTCCACTAAACAGCTGTAAAAAGAGGTTTTACTTTAAATTGAAATTTCTTTTTTTTCCATGTCCAGAGCCATTCCAGAATCCATGTTCTGATAGGTGGGAATTCTCCATTTATTTTTTCAGTCGGTTTACAGCCATCTTTTTGATATAGGGCTTTTTAGCTTTAATGGCTGTTCTCTCTGCAGCACCTCATACCACATCTCAAGACATTGCTCCCTCTGCTGCAAACCTGACATCCTACAATCAGCATGATGCTGTCACCAACAGTCATGCCTACATGCTAAATACACGCTCCATTGCCCCATTACCTCAGAAGACACTTTGAAAAGAAAGGAGATTTTTTTCCCCCACCTTAAACAAAAATCTAGAAGTTAACAGCACTTTCACAACCTAGATTTAATATTATCACAAGTCATAAAGAGTCACCAGAGATGTGTCACATTACCTACAGCTAAAGGCCCCGAGGCTCAGCCTTAACGTATAATCACCAGTTCTGTGGGGCTGTCTCACATTAGTGGAATTTCTGCTGAACATCTCTAAGTTAAAGATTTCTTTATGGGCTTTGATAGAGACCTTTTGATTTGCTTTAGCTCCTCTTGGTAAAAGACAGAGTTGCTGCGCCCATGCAAATCTTCCAGATGTCCCACGGATCAAAATCGTGACAGACGGAAAAGAGTCATCTGCAAAGCACACAGGTTAAAAAAAAAAAAAAAGTCAACTAATATAAGTTGCAAACACTTAATTGAGCAATAATTTAATCAGAAAGAAATGCAGTCATGATTGCAGAGGTTTCATTTTCAAGGTTAACTCCCCCCTTGACCCTGAAGGCAATTCCTGGTGAGGAACAAACTATAACCCTCCTCTCTGCAGAGCTAAGCAGAGCACCAGAGCAGAAAGTACCAGTTTACTTTGCTCTATTCCATTCAAGAGAAGTCATCACCAGGCACCAAGCACTGGAACAAGGCCCCAGAGAGGTTGTTGAGATTTAAGATCCCCACTCACTTAGTGATCTGCCTCAAAAGTGATCAGATACACTTAAGCATTATTGTGATTAATCTTGCAATTTAAAGAGGATTTGCGAGCAAGTTCCGCACAGCAAGAAAAGCTAATCTAATTTCAGATTATAACAACTTTACAGGATTCCTCAGTAATGCATTTAGCAGAAGAAGAATGAGAATTGCTCAGCTGTTCTAGCATGCACTGATCGATTCTAGTCAGGAACACATTTGCTCAAATACAGACTGTAGGAGGATGCACAGCAATAGCTCCCAAGATCAGCATTTTCTGCAAGATCTAGTTAGAGGTTCTCAGCGAGGTTGGGAGCATTCTGGACCACAACTCAGAACCACTGAGTTTTCTCTTAGCCAGTGTCAATGAATATAATCAGAGTTCATGATGCTAGCTGTTCTGCACAATCTCCAGTTTCAAGACTACTAATCTAGACTTCTTCCTGACCATAGAGGAAGAAAATCTACCTATGCAGATTAGCAGATCTGACATAACGTTAGTCTTCAACACAGCTAGCATATAAGAGAATTTTCTTCCATTCTGTTAGGTGGTATCTTGATGCCTGAAGATTCATAGGGTGATGGGTTATTCAGTTCAAGGCATCATGTAAATACTGTTAGGTTTTTTTAAAATGTACTTTCCTCCTTGGTCAAAGCACATGAGACTTAAGCAAGAGTTAGAGAGGAAAATTCAGCTGTGAAAGCTAATACTCTGTAGTAGATCTCCTTTTCAGTAGGTGTCATTGATAGAACAGGATGGCACACAGGAAAGCTATGACAGCTCCTAAGCAACTATAACCGTTTGGGCTAAAAGCACCCACAGAAACATTTAGTAACAGAGACATAAATCAAGCAAAAACAACAGTGCAACCACAAAGGAACGAACCATTTGTTGAGCACTAGTTCCTACAGAACCTCCTATATTCTTTCAGTTTTCATCCTTTTATGAACAAGGATATTTTCAAAAACATAATGCCACTGCTTTTCTTCATTCACCATGATTTAGATTGCAGTCGGATGCAAGTATCTCATCTCACTGGCTGAGAGACAACTGCATGAACTGTTTGGATGGGCTTGTACGTGTTTGACTATGAGTGACATGCATCATATTCTTGCAACTTCATGCAGAGCAACATCCTGCACAATTACGCACCCACAGAACAGGTAAGCCCCTGAACTATGAAAAGGAGAGATGTGGCTTGATGAAGTACCTTTGTTTTGCAGCTATATACAGAGTTTTAACCAGAGAGACAAGGAAGCAGGAAACAATGAACTTACTCTGTTCATTCCCTAGAGGCTGCTCCAGCATCGCAAGGATGACACTATTATCCAAAACAAAGTAACGGAAGCTATGCTTATTTATGGTAGGTAGACGAGAATATTTAATTAAGGTGGTTTCATTCACCAAGCTGCAAGGAGAAGCAGGGCCACTGGGAGAAGGAAATGCTCCAAGTAACTGCATAATACTGCAAATAAGAAAAAAAAAAGTCACGACAGATTAAGATTATAATTAAGATTAATTATTCCACCTAAGGATGGACCTTCACTCATATTGTTCATTTGTATTTTGACATAGGAATTGCCCAGTCAGGGCGAACCAATTACCTGCACACTCCCAACAGTTTTTCTTAAATCAGAACCAGTGATTTCAGAAAAAGTCATGAAATTCAGCAAGGAAAGTAGTCTGCCCACAGAACAAGTTTCCTTATAACATAGGGAATGAGTTATTAAGGTATGCTTTAAAGCACAAACAATCCTTCCACAGCTTTTTTAATGTTCTTTCTCATAACAGAGATAATCATCCATATCTTAATTCTCTTTTGAATTTGGCAGATGTGCCAGTTATCACTGTCTTAGCTTTCTTTGAACACCAATTACAGAAACTGAAGCTTTCAATCTATCTAATATTCAGTTAAAAATTTCCACAGTAGGAACTGGCAATTAGAGTTGAGATTCATGTCCGGTGTCAGTGACTGAAGGTCATATGATCTAACTCAGGAACTTACTCTTAACAACACTACTCAGATCAAAAGCAAGTTTACTGAAGTCCTCTTCCTCCTCTTTTCACTTTATCTACTCACAAAACAGGTAGTTTCATCCCTCTAAATGAAGAGGGACGCTTTTAGACAACAGTAAAGGTTTGTCCACAAGTTCCAGTGACTAGTTACTTTTACCTTGGGAACTACATAGTTCTTCTTATGAATAGTAAAGCTAATAACAATTTTACTGCAAAGTAGAACTAAAAAAGAGAAAGCAGGTATTGCTTTTTGCAAAGCATTTATCCTATCCATTCTCAATTTGTCCTGTCTACCATCATCCTAGTCATCCAGAAAAACAGTGCTTTTCAACCTCTTGGAAGTGAATCTCAATTTTCGTCTTTGTTCTCTTTGCCTGCCTTCCCCAACCCACACGTTATCTGTAATTCCAATTCCAAGAGAATCTCTCAGATATATTAAACCAGCCTGATTCTGGGGGCAGAATGACAGTCCATCCCGTGCTGACACGCACCTGCTACATGTGCAGTTCCTTGTTGTGTTATACATGAGACAGTGTCTATCAGTTTCCTGATCAATGCAGGGAGAGCACGTCCTCTCAGGTTGTGGATAAGGGGGAACAGGAGGACAGTGTGACTAGGTCAGGTGGGAGATACCAGGAGCCGCTATCCGCAGAGAATTGGCCCAGAGCAGAATAGCAGGGGCTGCAGGAGGACTTGGGCCATGCCCTCCAAGGAAGAGAATAGGCAGGACAGGAAGATGGCAATCTCAGGGATCTCTTCTCTGTTGAACTCCTGAATGGGAGTGAGGAGACTGCTAAGAGCAAGCACACGACAACCCTGCCCAGAGAGCAAAACAGAGCCTCTGGCTGACATGATATGCTCTTGCTCCATCACTAAGATCTCACCAGTTGGAAATCCCTAATTAAAACATTCTCAGACAAGACTACGCTAAACAGCAAAGACGCTTTGACAAATTTCATACCATGTTAATGTAGCTTCAGCAGCATCCTTCACTCTCATGGATGCAGGGTTTGGCTCTTTATCTCCTTTGTACTTGACTTCTTGTTCACTGCTTTTGGATTTACTTCCTGAAATGCCCAACTCCACAATCTCCAGTACCTCTTTTAAACAATCCTAAAACACAAGACAAATCATCTTAAAACAGAAGCACTCTGACAAAAGTCTCTTTAAGACCTCAATGAGACAATCATATACCATCAAATAAAATTAAGCGCTGCCAATAATATGAGCTCAGAAACAAATGCAGAAGATTATTCTAACAGAGTTGGAATAAAGATCACATTTGATATAGGAAAATATATATATATTTTCTCTCTATATAGAAGATGTCTAATTACCTTTTTATGCCTCTATACCTAATGCTAGAAAGTGTTCTGAATGAAACTATACACAGCATATTCCATTACACATATACAAAATGGCCAAGAGGATTATTAAGAGTGCAACTGAAAAAATGTAAATGTATTTAAAAAGATAATAAATGCATTTCAGAGATTATATGCAGAACTTTTAATTCAATTCTAAGCACATTAAGAAAGAATTCATCTCGAAAATTGCAAGAAACAATTTCCAAATCTTTCAACTGCCAACAACTTTCATAAGTAAATGAAATATATCATTTTATCTAATTCAGCCAGAGATCGCTGTACACACGCACACAATAAAAGGAGTCCAAGAATAAAAATAGGCACATGTATAGGAAAAAGAAAAAAATATTTCTAGCAACAGTACGACAGAAGGCTGTTAGAAATATGCATCTTTCATTTCCTGTTCTTTCCAAACTTCCCAAGGAAATTTCATCCTGGATGGAGCTTTGCCTTGTTCAGTTTCTTGGTGAAATAACAAACTTTGAGTATTAAAAAATTAGGGTCACAGAAATTCCACTGTTAAGTCTAGAAGACCTGCTTTAGTCAGGTAAGAACTGAGAAATGAGAAAACAAATGGCTTCTACTCAGGCTTATCTACAGCAGGTATACCATTCATTTCAGTATTCTTCTTTTGACTTTCTCTTTTTTCTTCTTTTTTTCAGTTTCACAAAGCAAGAAAAAAGATCTTTTTTTTTCTTTTTTAATAAGTAAGAAAGCTAAGTGTAAAGCCAAAAATATTCTCAGCGAAAAAAAGCCAAAACCAAAACTGAAAACTATTTTACAAAGAAAGTAGGTTTGAAACCAGCACCCTTTTGAAAACTACAAAAACATATATTTCAAAGTATCAAGAACAGTTGGGCACAAAAGGCACGACCATTTGCAGTGCTCCGAATACATACGCCAGAGTGTCTTACCTTCTCATCAAGCATGTCAGGATGCTCAGTGAGCCAGACACAGAGGCACTGGAAAGCTGCGACTATCATGGAGTGGAGGTCACGGGAGTGGAGCGGGGCTGGTCGGCTGCACTGATACACTATATAACTGCACACTGAACTTATAGCTCTCTTTCGATCAGAAGAATCGACAACCACTTTCACCTGGGTAAAGCAAGCAGGAGAGGACTGTCAGATGAGAATTCTTCCAGGAAATCTTCCAGAGAAGAAAGAAATTTCAAAAGCGTTTCCAAAAGCGGTTTTAAGAAATGGGAATATACGCTTGAGCTCTTTTATGATTACAGCATAAAGATGTGGATAAAATTTAACAGTGACAGCTGCTGAAACTCAAAAGCTAAAAGGAAAGAAATGCTACACTAAAAGATGCCACCACGCTGCCTGGCTTAGTTTCTAAGAGCAAGAACAGTACCAACGTGATTTGATAAGAAACTAATTGCAAACTGAATAAATTACTATTTGAGACTTATTTTCAGAAATACCTCTCCTCCAGCTAGAGCAACCCATTCATCTCCACTTGGTACCTCTGAGAATCCACTCACTACCAAGTCTCCCTTCCACAGGGCCATGTTCTGCTCACACAATTTTCCACTAGGCATATTTTGTCAGCACAGTAACTTCCATGAGCAAAAAAGAGCGGAAGAAAGGGTCTTCAGAAAAGATCCTTTAAGCAGATTGGCCAAAAAAAAAGAAAAACCCACAAGGCAAAAAGCTCAGCCTCTCTCCGGCTTGGCAGGGCGTGCAGGCAGGTTGTTTCAGGGAGCAAGACTCCAGCCCGTGCGGGCAGGTGAAGAGCCTTGCCCGCTGAGGCACAAGGATCAACAGTAGGCAGCGAGCTGAAGAACTACTTTTCTCTTTTCTTTCCAACTTTGAACTGACACAGGAATTGTCAATCAAACCTTGACTTTTCTACTCTGTACCCTTTGACCTCGCTCTGTAAAGCCTCCTTCATTATTTAAGGGCTGCCCTCAGTATCAAGAGCAGGGAGTTGGATGCTCTTGCCCTTGACAATGCCAGTGCCAGCCAGCTGTACTCAACAGGGAGGGAGGACGACAATTTGGAGCCTCAGGATGAAGGCAGCATTTCCTTTCAAATCAAAATTTCTGCGGCCAAAAATCAGCCCTTCAGGAGCAGCTTAGGAAAAGCAGGTTGGTGACCCAGTACTCTTGCAAGAAACAGGATTTTTGAATTTACTAAATCCCAGGAATTACCTGGTGTGGTAAAGACAAAACACCCTAACCTAAAGAGGGCTTTGAAAATTGTAGCTTCCAAAGGTCACAAGCAGAATCAGGTCTCCACTCTGTCCTTATGCAGTAAGAGATGATCCCTTTTCCCAGTTTGTTCGCTACTTAAGAGGCAAAGAGGACAATCTGAGCTATCCAAGAGGAAGAATTACTTCAGTCATATGATAATTATACAAAGATTACAATGTTTACTATTAACATTAGTAGGCATTTGAAAAGATAATACCTTTTCGCATTCCTACCTCTCACTGCAAATCAAGCGGGGGGGGGGGGGGGGGGGCAAAATAAAAAAAATCAAGCTATCCTGGCTCAAGCTGCAGCATAAAATTTTCTCACACAAGCTGTGGGAAACCTCGACTCTATATTGTGCTCTATAAGAGCCAACAATGATATTTCAAACTCATATCGCAGACCATCCTGCTTCCAAACGCAGCCGTCAGCCCATGCCACTGCAGTAACAAAAGCAGCATTCCAGCTCAACACGGCTCAGCGCTGACTCGAGGCTTTTAAAAAAAGGCATATGACATGCAGATTCCAAGAGACCTGAAGAGACCCCAGGGGAATATGAGAGGAAATGCTTAATTATCATGCCAATTCACCATGGCTGCAGTAAATACACTAGAACACTGCTTAACAAACATCACAAAGTCCAGACTGGGAACAAGGGCCCACAAGCAGGAAAGGGCACTTTACTTTTCACCAAAAAAAGGCCCTGCCAACCAAGCAGCTGGGCTAAATGCTCAGTAAGGTGAATTTCTCTTACTGCAGTTACACGCTAGGTAAGTCTCCACTAATTTGAGGAGCATAGACTGCAGCTCAGGTGCCAAAATCTAATCGAGCAGAGTAGTTCAGCTAGGCAGCGGTGAAGAAAAACAACACAGTAACTCTGGACTGAAGAACCATAGGCACGGTAAGGGTCCTAAGCAGAAGGATAACACTTTCCTGTTAGAAATAGCCAGTATAATTTTCTAAGCTCAGAAAATTATTTCCAGGGTGACATGGAAGGGGAAAACCTGGTACAACAGCAATAAAAAGGGTATATTTCCAGTCTCTGAATTAACAGCACAAGAAAGTCTGGTTTATAAGTGTGATTACACATTGAACAGACTGCCTGACTATCTACCCAAGAAAACCATGATAAATGTTCACAGTGGGGTCAAAGACTGTAACGGTCCAAGTCCATACACTGCCCACTGGAAGCTTAATGGCATGTTTTCCCCCCACCCAGTACGCAAACCAATATGCCAGATGCATCCCCTAGAGTGTTAAAAAAAGAAAAAAAAAAGAAAAAAACCCTCAACATCAACATACACGGGAATCTGAGAAAGATTAGGAGCTATCAGTCTAGCTCATCAAAATCAGCCTTGGCCGTGCTCCTTATTTTTAACCATGGTTGCTCTGCGCTGAGGTTTTCTTCCTACCTTTTTTTTTTTTTTTTAAAGACCCATCGTATCCATCTCATCTCATTCCAGAAACCCACAATAGAGCCACTTTTATCTGAGTAAGTCATCCTATGCTTACAGTTAATAGGCATTTAGAGGGCACACATCACTTGTGCTATTTAGCATCTACATTAGGATAAGATGAACTGCTCCTATGAAAAAGCCTAGTTTTTTGCTGTGTCCCAACAGAACATATGGTGACAAACTCGGAGGCAGATGTCTGTTTGGTGGCATGACTCAGGACTATAATTACCCTTTGAAAAAAGGCCAGAGCACATGAAACTTCTCTCACCTTTGCCAATCCAGACAGAAGCTCTAATGCAGCTAGTGAGATACTCATGTCCTGCCTCCACTGTGAGTTGAGTCTTTGGGTTACCAGGTGAATACTGCGAATCAGTAGTCCAGCCGCTGTATCTGTATTAAGAGCTAGGATATAACCCCAATACCACATACCACAGGGAGGGAAAATAACTAAGCATTAGTAACAATAAGCAAAGCAGAGGCGCAAGCCAAAGCAGCCACAATAAGCACATAAATTAAAATTACACACATCCTGGAAGTTAGAAATTTGGTCAGACTAATTCCCTGATATGCAATACCATCATATTATACACCTACATTCAGACTGGCTTATCTCAGTTTTTGGTTTTTTTTTTTTAAACAATGAAAAACATTTTACTCGACTTGCTATTTGTACATGGTTGAATCATTAATCTAAAAGACATTTTAGTCACAAGACTGCTGCATTTCAGCAACAGAACTAACTTCACATTTTGCTATTATACTTATATTGCTGCAACAGCTGCAATCCCAGAAGAATTTAGGCATCAGTAATGTGCAGACAGAGTATACAGAACTTCAAATACCCATGCCAGAAGTTACCCATAACTTTTTGTAAATATTAGATATAGAAAGAATATTAGGTATATAAAATGTAGGATTGGAAAGAATCAGTCCCAGAGAAAAAGATACAATTATTTCTCAATATTTAATTTTCCTGTACCTTTAGAGTTCAAAATTAAAAACAGAAAACAGATCTTTAGTATCCATGGTTCTTAATTTCCAAATGTTAGGAACTTTATTCTTAAGACTGGAAGTAGACAAATTAATCGATTTCAGAGACAAACTACTGAATGACTATTTAAGGGCAAGTGTTATCTTTGTTAAAGCTTAAATCATCATATTTAACACTCAGGAGCAAAGTACAATGCTCTCTGTTATGCCTGCAGCAGATGCAAATGTCAGCTAGAGTTAACCAGTGAAAATAGACCGTCTTTAAGACCTTTTTTCAACTTTCCCTTCAAGCATCCATCAGAAATGTAGAAATTGCTTTCATAAACTTTTTACACCCTTACCTTCTATGAAGAGGAAATTAAAAAGAAATCCAATAAAATGAATCAACAACTCACAAGTATGGAGTCAAAAAATTACAAAACTAATCCTTGAGGTTATATCATGGTTGAAAAAGGGTCAGTAACTCAAACATACAAAATATAATTTTGAACCTTACAAATGGATATTTTACATTCAGAGAGATGCTAAAAGCACTTGTCAATGAAAACCCAAATGAATTAAACATACAAGTCAAATGGTGTGCTGAAAAACAGCATTTTCACTTTTTCAAACAAATAAATCCTGCAGAGACAGCACTAACACGTTTATGTGAATCCCTAGAATATACTAAATCTTTCCTGCTGATCTCCCTCATACCATTTCTTTGAAAGCTAAAGAAAAAAATCTATTTTTGGTTGCCAAGAACTGAATTTTCAACCTATACCTACAATATAACAAATAACAGTGGTATGTTATCACATTCACCTGGTTAACATCAATTAAATTACTAGAGACCAAAGGAGCAAGTGAGATTCCAGGATCTCCAAATTCAGTTAGCTTACCACACACAGATTTAGTAAAACATGGATTTTATTACAAGGATTCAAAAATGCACAGTACAAGACATGGCAAACTAAAGTTAAAAAAATTCTCACACTATAGCAAATGACATATGCAAACATTCTGCTTACTTTTTCTATTAAAAAAATAAAAAAACCAGGAATTCCCCCAAATACTTTCTCAATATAGTCTAAGAAAAGGTGCTACAAAAGCCGGGTAAGCATTTGGAAGGCAAAAAAAATAAATGAAGCAATCAATTTACACTCTCCGTATTGTTCACAAAAATTAAACACATTAAACATAAGGTACAATCAAACAGTTTGCTAATGTCTCTGCTTTTATAAACTTTTATGTTCTTCTTACTTTAAAAACATCACAGTCCCTTAATAGGACTAAAAACTAACCGATTAAAGGGCACATATGAGTACAATTCAGTAATAAACTCGGGAGCCAACCACTTGCGGTTCAAAACACCCACGCACATTGGTACATTAGCCAAAACCTCCATAGGTGGGGGGGAAACACACACATCAGCCTGGGATACAATGACATGACTTTTCAGAAACAGGTGGTTCCTTACCATAATCCCTTAAAAGAGCTTGTGCTGGTCTCTCACTATCTGGAGTTGTCGGCTCCGTACTGCCTCCACTCGCAGTACTAATGCCACTGTTAGTTCGACTGTGGCTTTTAAAGAGGTTATTTTCGCCACCATTCTGCAAATTGAAAGTCACTTTTAAGTGATGATAAGATTTTCTGAGTATTGCTCACAGATACAGTGGAAAAATGAGAGGATCAAACCTAAAGAAAATAACTGAACATCTTACAGCAGCAGATAAAAGGCATAACATGTTTTCTTTCTGAAGCAGTAATAACTTTATAAGCAAAAAAGCTTACCGTTTCCATCTGACAGCCAATGGCTTCTAACAGTGCTGAGTCTTGAACAATATTTAACATTGCACCTGAAGAATCAGATACAAGAAGATAACTCCTTAAAGACAAGCGGAACATTCACTGCTAAAACTTACAAAGCAGGCAGCACTGAGGGCTTGCACGCAAGATCTCTGTCTAGAGTGCTATAAATATAAGATTTGCTTCAGGCTTTGGCATTTGATGCAAATGATGGCTGAGATAAAAGAGAACCTGCCTTCAGCTATTTTAAAAGTCCTTTGTACACAGGTTTCTTAAATTCCTTAGTTCAGAAGGATTTTTGTTTCATAGGAAGGGTCTGGAATCTTTTCCTGTCTCCAGTCAGACTCTGCTCGTTTACAATCTCCACTTTACATTTAAGGGCATCTACTGATTCCACCAGTACAGATACTATTTATTAGATAATTAAGACAGTTCTGCATCCTCTGACACCATCTTGGGGATTTACACAGGACCGGCCTGGGCTAACCTCTGCGGACAGCCCCCCGGCACAAGGAGGCTCCCTCCCTCCGTGGGGCCAGGAGGAGCCAACAGGCAATTAGCGACTGGCAAACAAAAACATGTGCCCAAGTCTTAATGAACCCGGAGCACAGCCGGAAGAGAAAGTGAACGATGCCTAGTCCACTCAGCAGCTCTAAGAAAAAGCATCAACAGGACAGCCCGAGCACAAGGGACTGCCGCTCGCTCTCATGCTGACCAACGACTAGTCCAAGGAGCCGATCCATTCTAGTACAAGGAGCTTTACCTTTACAGGGACTTACGTATTTGTGCCCAGAGCAAGGCGAATTTGCATCACTGACCTCCAAACCCACAGACTACCAAAATAAAAATCATTACATCCAAATTTAGCCAAAATGCAAAACTTTAATTTCCTAAATCGTGAGGCCAGCACGCAGTCTGAGGTGGGATAAGCTGAAATTCTCTTTACCTAGAAGTGATACCTGGTCTCATGCTTTTTGTGCTTTTTTTCTATTACTACCCAAAATACTATATTGAAAAAGCTAAAATTCCAAGTGTAGGACTAACCAACCATACTGCACTGACATTAGTCAGCAGGTAAATAGAAATATCCAGCTTGGGAAGGATGACTACACACAAGTGTAAGACCCTACGTTACACTAAAATTGCTGATGCATTCTAGGTGCCTTGGGTTAACTAGCATGAATAGTGTGTACATGCTGGGCACCATCATCCCCAAGAGACAAGGAAAGAAGCAGTAAGGACACAAAACAGACTGGCACTAGGAAGCACTCAGTACAGCCACTGGGTGGCATTAAAAATCTGTTTTTGCAGCAATGAACCTTCATGAAAACACTGGTTGCTATAGTAAGCAACCAGCAAAAACATAGCAGCCCGTGAAACATTTCGCGAGCAGCTGGAAACAAACATTCATTTTGTTGAGAAGCTGGTGGTAAGTGCAAGAATAGTCTGGCTAACCTGGAGATTCATGAACCGCCTTCTAGCGAAACAGGCGGGACATAACATCACATATGGAAATTGGAGGTCAACGATATGAATACAGGAGCATGTGGGGAAAGGGACTGGTATGTGACATAACGGAAAAGCCATCCCATATATAACGCTATGACATAACGCCATGGCATAACGCTACATAGCCATGACATAACGCTAAAACCCATCCCAGACAGGTGTGGTCAGAGCATCTTCCTAGCTGGGTGCAAACACCAACTCACACCATAAGGGCACAGGAACGCATGGATATTATTTAACAGAACAGCACCCGACAGTTTAAGGTGGTGCAATCCACCGATGCTCTGTGGGTCTTGTTAGCGGATCACTTTGAAACAGCAAACGTCCTCATCTCTGCACCAGGACTGGCTGTAAATCTTTCTTTCAAATTATTCTCCCCTGGTCTTCTCCCACTAAAGGAGCTGCTCCAGCCACTGAAAGGAAGCCTTCAAAAGACTCTGCAGACTGGATTTGTTTCCCTGCACTTCATTGCTCATGCTCTTTTCTTTCCCTCCCCTATTAATCAGATAGGCTCTCTGCCTTCCAGAACAGCCATACACCTCCTGACTGCAAGTTTGTTTGTTTTTTTTAACAGTCAAAAGGAAAAGGGTATTGTAATTATTTTGGGGGAAAAGGCAATCTTAATGTGGAAAAAGGTACTTCTAAATAAAGAGGAGGAAACAAACAGGAAAAAAAATGGTGGGTAAGGCAACTAAATGTTTTACTTGTCTGAAAATACACCTAACTTAGCAGATAATGCACTAATCAAGTTTTCAGCTTCTAATTACTTTTTGAGTATTTAGATGTTAATACATCCACCACCTCAAGGAACAGATTGCTGCCAAAATACTATACACATCTCCAGACTTTATTCCAAAGCTTCTGTCTGACGGTTTACACAGCGCTAGACAAATATCATCTGTATTCTGCCAGTGCTGGAGCAACGGTTACCTGACATTTTGACTTTTTTCTAAGTTCAGTCAGGCCAAAAACTAAAGCTTTACCTGAAACCCTTTAGTCAAGAATTTTTCCCAATATTAAAAAACTTTTTTCATATTTCCATTCTTAGCTATCACTGACTTTTCCTGTAGAAAGTGCTTTATGTCTATCTCTACTTTTCAAGTATTTTTCCTCATTTGTAAAAAGAGGAGAGAAATACTACTTTAATAAAAATTACAGACTTTTTAAAGGTGTTTCCATAGTGTGAAGGAGATTATACAAAAGGTTTTGCACAGAAGACCTGCTGGGAATTTCATCTCCGTATCCTTGCAAAGCAAAACATAACTAATTGCCCACATTATTCAACTCTTCTATTTAAGAGCAGTTAAGACACACTTTTGTGATACAATTAATAAAAAGAAAGTTGAAATAACCTAGTATCATTTGAGTGTTGTTGGGATCTGTTTCAGTTTGCAAAGCTCCTATGAGTATATTCACAAGCCTCAGCTTCAAGGAAAGGAAGGTTACTGGCTTATCATACGTTGAGCTGTCGTCATTGCTGAATTTTCCTTCTAGGACAACCTAAAGGAAAAATACATTTATTTCAGTATCAGTTAGAGATCAGTTTCATACTTACACTAAGCATACCAGCATGGTATTGGTTTCCTTCTTCAATTTAAGAAAATTTCAATTTAAGAAATTTGGCTTTAAAGGTGCACAAATATGGTTTGCTTTCTTCTGACACTTTAAGGTATCACACCCAGTACCTCCAGTTATCAATTAAAGATCTATCCTTTCCCTGCCTACTCAGTGGTAGTGAGAACTAACCATGGGGTGAGGGACACCACTGCTTATAATGCAGCCCCTCAGAAAAAAGCTGATGCTTATAAATAAACTATCACAGAAAACAAACTCGTAACTTTATTACCTCAGACTTTATGGTTCCAAAATGATGAGGGAGAGGCAACAAAGACAGCAAGATATTAATAGAAGCTCTTCTTAACTCTGTGGGGTTTACATAGATTTTAAACTTTGAGAGTTCTCTGCAAATCAAAGCATCATAAAGTTAAATCAACTTTTTATAGGAATTTGGAACCAAACTTAATTCAGTGCAAATTAAATACAGGAACCTAGTGGTCTTAAATAATTTACACTCTACAGTGTAGCTATTTCTTTCTAGATTTCTGAACCTCATTTTGCAACAGCAACAATACAACAATTAACATAGGTTAGACATGAGGAACCATCACTTCCTAAGGATTTTGTACTGGATGTAAAAGCAATAAGCTGATGAAATCATTACTCATATATCGCATCCTCAAAGCAGAATTTTCAGTGACAAGCCGCTACCTGCTTGTTACTGCTCATAAACCATCCTGGTATTACCAGAGATCCACAGAATTTGCTCACATGCATACTGCATAAAACACAAATTGCTTAGCAAATACATTTTTTTCAGTAGTCACTAGTAAATTCTTCTACTTATAAGACTGAACCAAAATGAACAGTTGCTCAGCTTTAAACCCAGAAGATAGACAGTAGTTCATGAATAACTTCCAAATAAAACACAGCATCAATACGTGAAATATATGGCGCGGAAGGCATGCACTGAGTACCATCAAGTGACTTTAATTATTTAGCAAAATATCCAGAAATTTGTAAAATTATAACAGCAAGGTTATATATATTCTGGTGTGAGAAGCTACTATAACTTTAACATCCTATCTAAATTCTCCCTTTTTCAACTAATGAAGTGTAAAATTACTCTCTGCATGATTCACAGCAGCACCAGATGCTAAGGAATATCTAGTAAAATTGTATTTAAAAATAAGTAGACTTTAAATGTATTTGAGCTAAATCATTCCTTTTCCCTATTCTTGCAGATATTACTTTTCAGTCATGAATATGCAGGTAACAACTTCATGTATTTCTTTTAAAAAAAGCACAATTATTGCTTTAAAGATAACTGCATTAAATAAAATGAAAAATTAGAGCTTATGAAATGCTGCTCCTAGCATTATCACAGCAAGGATATTACTGATACTACACAGTACTTGGCACACCAGCCACAATTCCTTCAGTGAAAACTATTCAGGAATGACAAGAGACCCCAGATGATAAACACTTCCCCACATTCTGATAATATCTATAGGGAAATGGCATTTTACCTGTCAGGTAAAATAGTTTCAAGAGCCGAAATGAAATAAGGAACCACGACATCAATCCCTTTCAGGTCACAGCAGAACAAAGGAGGGGAGTTTAGAATAACACTGGCCAGAACGGGGTGGCAAACGAAATCTGCTATCTGCAAACCCTGAATTAAAAGCATGTAAAATCTGACAAAGAAAGATAAGATTAAATTACTTGCACATAAAAAGCATCACTGTCCTACATGAATAAGAACGTGCAGCAACTATTTGGTCTTTTCTCTATAAAAACACAGCAGGTTTCCAAACCATAGCTAAGAAAAGCTTATATGAGCACCCCCCCTTAAGTTTTTAGTACATGCAAACACACCTAAGCAGCTTTAAAGAAAAACAAGTCATATTTATTTCATGCGAAAACCCAGCGGAGCACAGGTTTGTTGAAACATCTGACTTGTTGCAAGACATGGACTGGGAGCTGCTGCAAATACAGCCCGGACATTTACTGACAGTGCTTGAACGTGCCCCCCTCAGCTTCCCCAGGTAAGGATGTGAGACCTTGATTTTAATTCCCCAATGCAGAAGAAAAATAGCGTGAAATCTTTCAGGGGGAAAAAAACCTACCCCTCCTCTCAGAGACTCCGATATTTGGAAAATGAGACCAAACATATCAATCATAACTACTTCAAATGACAAAGTGGGGTGATGGTGGGGGGAGGAGAATAAGGTCACAAACAAAACAAAAGTCTTGTTTTTTTTTTTTTAAGCCACGTTATAATTTACCTGGCTATTGTCCCAAAGTAGATAGGGCCTTTTGTAGTTCATTTTAAGCAATATAAATTACTCCTCTATAATTTTAAGAAAGCCTTACGAAAAATGAAGAAATTCACTGAATAGGTAAGAGAAACACAGACTATCTATACATACAATACAGCAACATGCATGTACTGAGCAAGTAGATGACTTTGATTTTTCAGGAGTTTAGAGGTCATCTGTGACCAAAGTAGGTGAACAGTTAAGAGTCATGATTTCAAAACTATTTCCTGCCTCTGGGATGTGCTACTGCACTGCAACATAGTGATTTTTGATAAAAGATAATAAAAAAAACATGAAAAAAAGGAACACTGACAAGCAGAATTGTCTGGGAATAAAAAAAATTGATTGTTTTAAATAATGGAACATTAAACCCAGGGGGTCTCTACATCTAAATCATATTCCGTTCCATGGTTGTGGTGTTTGACAACATAAGACCCTTCACAATCTAATGAAGCTTAAGTATTCTTATGTCTGCATACTTCTACTTTTTTCCACTTTAATAATATTCAATGGTAAATTACCAAAAAAAAAACCAAAAAAAAACAACACAGGCCAAGAAAGTAATCATAAAGATAGTATGCTCTCCGGCTAGGAGGCAATTTATGGGACTTCCCTTTGACCACAACTTAAAAGAAAAGCCACTGAAAACAGAGCTCATAGGAATTACAAAGCAAATCAATACTTAGTTTAGCCTGGGAGCTCTACCTACAGCATTTTAAGGCTAACCAGGCTTTTAGGGTTGGCAATACAAGATTCAGACAAGAACTGAAAGCTAGTCACTGCAAATTCATCTACACCACAGAGTTATACCAATAAAGCAACTGGAAGATAGGTTAGTACCGGGATAAGTAAGCTGGCAATATTTCCTCCCCAGTCTTCTTGCTACAAAATATCCTACACAGTGTCCCACACGCCTCTGCCCTTCCTGCTTCATAGTTGTCTGGGAATTCACTTGCATCAAACATAGGATTGGAAGCCATTGTATCTGTGGACATTTGTGATCCTTTTCGGCGAAATTCCACGCTAGCTTGAGTTGCTATAGCTGGGAAGAGAAAAAATAGCGTTTCACTGTATTTGTTAGCATGTAAAATAGGCTCATGGGATCCTGGACACAAAGATCAAGTCAAATTTAGTAGTTATGAAGCTGTTAGTTCACTGTATTTGAGTCAGTGCCTCTGTTTAGAAACTATTTGAGGGGCAACTAACTTTTCTTCCATAAGGATGACAACAACTAACTTTCAAGTTCAAAGCAAATCCCAACTGTCTGTTGCAAAGAGCACACTTATATCCAGTATTAACTTCCTACCCTGTCTGGAAGCCAAAAGATCTTCCTTATCTAGTTCTCTTCTTCAAAATAAAAAAAAACTACAACAACGAAAAACCTTTCCTTGGTCCCCTTAAAATACCCAAAAACTTTTAGATCGTACCACTGTCACCTCCAAGTGCCTAATTATAAAACTGGCTAACTAATCTCTTTTTGGTGATCTGAATACCAAGCTGTTCTCATTCAACTTTGCTGTGTAAACAGAAAACCCCTGAGGAGAAAAAAAAAAAAAAAATATCCCAGAATCCTAAGGACTTCTATCAGAAAGAGAAGTTTGTTGAAAGCCACTCTTCTGATTTGGTCCTGCTCTCCTTACAGGTTTCCTGAAATTGCCAAAGAAATTTTAGAAGTTAGATAGTCCTGGTGACAGCTACCAGAAAGGTAGGCACTCTCCTAGTCACTAACAGACATTCCACAATACTCTCCACAAAAAGTCTCTAGAGAACCCACTATAACTAAGTGGGACTTGGTTTTCCCTAGATTTGTGCTCTCTTCCTGTAGAATGGTTCTGTAAATAATCCAAGCTAACTAGAGTCATGTATTTTTAGGAAGATTTCTAACTCCCCTCCCCACATCAGTATCATGTGCAGAACATGCAAGAGGCTACTCATTTCGCTAGCTTCATCATTTCTCCCAGAATGACAACCAAGAAAGATACTGTTTTTCCCCTGGACAACGTTCACTCTTGGATTATCAATAGCAGAAAGAGCGTGTTCCTTTTTTAGCTAAGGCTTCACACGCCAATATTGACTTTCAGAAATTTTACAAGCTAAAAACCAGAACAGAGAATACGGGCTCCTAACTGAATCAAGCCAACATAGTTCTGCTAGAACCAAAGATTTTGTTCTATATCTCAAACCTGGGACACCGGGGAATATCAGATTCACAATCACAGTTATGCAAAGGCCCATTAACACTTCATTAGTTGCAATACTTGTTAATTTTACTGGAAGGTATTTTTAGAAACTCCCTATGGAAAAGTCTCTACTCTTAATTTTTGTGTTTAAATTCTTGATGTAGCCTACTGGTACTTTATAAATTTTCATGGCATAAGTAGTAAATAAGCACAAATCTTTATGCGTCTTCCCATGAGCCATTTTTTGTCCTAAATAAGCTATCCAGCAATATACTATAGTTGGAAAAAAACACTACATGCACAATGCATACAAATCAAACACTAGGTCTGTAAAATAAGCTTTAAGTAAAAAAAAAAAACATGGTTAGTGCAAAGTCCTGAAATTCATGACATGATCACAGACTAAAGTACAGAAAAGATGGGACTGATTCAGGCAGATTAATTTGCTTTTGCCAACAATCCTCCCCATTCAAAAACACACACAAAAAATTACTTGTCTTTTTTTCAAGTAAAAGTGCAAAAGCTACAAGAGACAATGAGAATGAATTTACAAATAAAATATGGGATTATGGAAAAAGAAAAGCATGACCGCAATTAAGGAAAAGCTACTGGTTCCTACTTACAAGATTTATAAGAAAGAAGAATTTGGATAAAAGATGCTGCAAGATAATAGAAATAAAATGGAAACAAATCAAAGGACAGCAGTAGTTATAAAATACTTTAAAGATGGTGAAATTGTAATATAAGTTAAGAAGCTTTTAGCTTTTTTAAAAAATAGATTAAAAGCTTTATGATATAAGCAAGCTCGTTAAACACATAGGAAATTGGCATTCAGGTCCAAAATTATGGTTTTGAAAATACCATGCAAAACAATGAACAAAGAAAGTTACAAAATACTAATAAGATTTAAATCTGTTCATATCAATGTACATCAGTTGTTTAAATGGATGTTATT